CTGAGCAAGTTTACAAATGTAATTGTAAGGGTGGTGTTCGCTTATCCAAATAAGGTATTTTACTGTTGTAATATTAATTTTCAGAATGTTTTAAAAAACATTTTCACTTGGCTAATGTGGGTTACTATGTGTAAATAAAAATGGAAAAAGCCTAATTTAATTTGTTTTTAATTTCAGAGTGTCATACAACAAATTTTGAAAGGGGGTGGTGACTTTTTATAACCACTGTATGTCTGTACCTTCACTGCTATTAAAAAGAGAGGTTTTGTATATTTAAGTGTATTTTGCATATTGATACACTGGATCTTTCAAACGCTTATCTAAATTACGCACAGGTATAATGTGAAGGATTTTGTTGTACAATTCAGAATTCAAAAAAGGAGACAAGGATGACAATGTACTTGCAGCTAAGTCAAAAAGAATAAGGAATATAAAAGATTCTTCTCATACGCATTGTAGTTTGCACGGCAATTCAGTAAGAGAATGCTTCTTTCAAGCTCAATCCTACAAGCTTAAGTACAAGATACAGCAATACAGTATGACTTAAATCCCATAATTTGAATTTATAACTAATCAGGGATGGTTTTGGTGCTGGCAAAAGATACATGGTATCAACAAAGTGATTTTAAAAGGGAAGTACTTTATCTGTCTGCAGATGAACAAGTTGACAGTCCAGCAGAAATTAGGGAATCAAACAAGATAGTGGGCACAATGAACAACAGATCTATAATTCAGATGAAGATCGTCTTTATTGTTTCCCAGCAATTCACAATTTACAAGTCAACATCTTTTTAAATAATCTAAAGAAGTGGTCACCCTGCTGTTTGCAGCTAATAAGACAGAGAAGCTCACAGTGTTACTACTTTTAATCGAAAGGAGGAAAGATCCACAGTGCATATGCCATGTGGATATGTGCCTGTGCTCTGCACACAAAACAAAAGAGATGTTTAAGCCAAATATTCAACTCATGGTTTTATAATTAATTTGTGCCACAAACCCAGAAGATTCAGAAACATACTGTAAAAAAGCTCAGAGAGAATGCATTTTGTCAGTCTGTTAACATCCTCCTGCAAGTAAACTGGTGATGATAGCAACTGATAGCTACATTATGGTTATGCACTTGTCATAAAATACAATCAGTATGGTCCAGTAGACCAATGGATGATTTTAACCTATGATTGTGATTTTAACACTACCATCATGAACTACTTTTTACTCATCTTTCAGATGTTTAATAACTCTCCAAGAATCCATCAAAGCATGGCAGGGGATGGGGCAGGCATTATTGATGACTTCTAAATGTCTAATCCATTACAAAAGTGCTGGATGAAAGGTTAAGAAGGTGTCATTGAGCAAGACATGATACTGCCAAGTGTAGATACAGAGGATATAGAAAATTCAGGGTTTACAGAACTTGTAGAAACCATAGTGTGATTGATATGTTTTCCAAGATACATTTGTATGATGACAGTAAAGCTGTTGCACACTTGAGAAATGGCAACATTATTGCTAGTGTGACAAAGCTAACCGGAAATGATGAAGGTGAGATGGAAGGGGCTGTGGCCAGTGTCAGTAGAGCCCTACAGGGTTCACTTCCAACCTTGCAGCTTCTTGAAGACTGAGATGCTACAGAAGTGAATACAATTCAGCTATAGCAAATCCATGACTTGATTTGCATTTGACAGAGCAGCCATCGGAACAGGAGGAAGAAAATGCATAACTGAATTCTTTCTAGCATCCTTGGGTTTAAAGAGACCCTTTATAAAAAAAAATCATTATTATTTCCCTTGTATTTCTTACATCCCTTTACTGCTTGCAACAAGTCACAAATTTTATTTGCCTCATTTTTGAGAGTACTGCAGTATACATGCTGTCACTAGTGGTATAGTAGGCTTATGCAATTTATTACTTTTATGTTATGTTCTACTGTTGTAGTTACATTATGCACTGTATTAGGCTCCTGTAATTTCCTGCATCTTACTAGGTGTAATGCTGGTGTGTGGCTATTTGAAACCCATAAGTTATGTCTGTTACTTCTTTGTGTGTCTCACTTTATTGCTGTTGTCATTTTACCATTATTTTATATTGGACTTCCACAACTGCAAAATATTGAGTGGGTAGTATATCAGGATTTACTGATAATTAAATTACTGACAGTAGGTCAGCATTCATGTTGAATCCCCTTCCCTACTTTTTGACTGATCTTAGCTAATTAAGACATGAATGATCTTTTTACAAATAAGACATTGTATTTTTGTAACCTCTCAAGAAATCTCATCTTGAGTTTGAAATCCCAGGGGACTTAAGCCTCTGTTTAAAAGTCAAGTTTAGATGAATAAATGTCTAGGCCTATTATTTGTTCGAATTTCACCATCTTCTTTGATCATTTTTCTTGTCCTCCTACAGCTCCTGCGATAGGAGATATGCACTGTCTGTCAATAAAATAATTTTATTTTCCCCTGGATCTTGAATGAAACAATATATGTAAATTGGGTAACGGTATAAGGAATCATAAATAATGCAGAAACAGAAGAGGAAACTAACATTCACTGAGAGAAATTTCCCCTCAGGATAAATTCTGTCGTTATGATCCTGTCAGACCAAATCAGTATCAGGCAGGTGAAGCTGCCATTTTATAGATAAAAAAGAAAATTTCACCCAAAGGGTCAGGACTCATTTTGGACAACAGCATCAGCAGTTTGACCTCTACATTTTCAAAAGTAAAGGTTCATTTTAGGTTCAAGTAAAACAATGTTAACTAGGACATTGAACCTGTATGTGTGCATACTGTATGTGTTTTGTAGCAGCTTTCGAGAATGTTTCTCCTGTGCTTAAATACCTTTCCTAAATAGTGTGCCATTTTTACTACCTGCAATCTAGATAATAAGCCCCTCAGCACAAAATACACATTTTTACTGGGTATGTCTAAACTGGCTGTCAAAGGAAACACAAGATTAAATAAAGGTTATTTGAATGCTTTGCTCAAGGGGAGAACCATTATCTGCCACTAATTGTACCTACAGGGCCTGTCACTTGAGCAGCATTAATATCAGGTCTCCTGATAGAAAAGGAATTAACCAAGTGCTGAGTTCCAGATTACCACACAATTTGTTGCTTTTATTTCATTGCAGAAGATAATTTTATTTGCAATAGCTCTCAAAAGAAATTATATATCGTGCTATCATTTTTTTTTTCAATTTAAAACTCCTCAGTGTGTGTAATTTCAAAAGCACAGGAAAAAGCTTTTTTTGGTAACCCTTAACTTTATCTTAAAAAAGAAGCCTTAACACCGAAGCTGCCAGGCAGTTTTCTGAGCACTGAGCTATTTTTGTAGTCTATTAAAGACCACAATTTTTCATTTATTTCACTCTAAATTTCAGGAGATGCGGTATTAGTCAATACTACCATCTTTCATTTTTGTTTGCTTTATAATTGCTTCTCAATATATTGTCTTCCCAGTTTTTCATTAACATAGCAGCGTTATTCGTCTTCTTCATATGCATTTTATCTATAAATGTTTGCAAGAACATATAGTTTCGTATTGGGCAATGTCTTATTAAACAGTCACCTTGTCTTGCTAGCTTTATTATAGATGGGTTCCAAGTAAAAAGTATACAGCAACTTCTGCATTTGATTTAAATTAACACACATTAAATACATTTTAGGAAAATAGAGTCTGAATGACCATAATATTTTTTAGATAGTTAACATCTAAAAAAAGCGGGGGGACAGAGTAGTTGCACTTTGGCACTATGGCTAAGGATCTGCACCTGTGGCTGGAAGGTTGCTGGTTCAAATCCCGTGGCCAGCAGAGGAATCCTACTCTGTTGGGCCCCTGAGCAAGGGCCTTAATCCTAGCTGCTACAGGGGCCCTATTAATGGCTGACCCTGTGCTCTGACACCAAGTTTTTCTCTCCCTGTCTGTGTGTCTCATGGAGAGCAAGCTGGGATATGCGAAAAGACAAATTCCTAATGCAAGAAATTGTATATGGCCAATAAAGTGATCTTATTACATGCTGTCCATGTTGACCATACCCCGCTGAGGAGCAGGAGACTCACAGAACACATGAGAAACACATTCAAAGAACACTCACTTCACTGGAATTGCATACACAGATGTAATAATAATAATATTGTCATAAATGGCTGTAAGTGCTTTGCTAATTGATATGCTAATAACATACCAAGCTAAAAAAGAAATTGGAGAACCTCAAAGTGTCAGAGAAGGTTAGATGTCCAGGTCTGAAGGCAAAATATTATTTCAGCCTTTAGCTCTGTTGAAGGTTATCACCAAAATGCTACAGAAAAAGCAACAGCTTCTGGCATCTTTGTATATGCTCTGATTATAACATCATGATTTCTCAAAGCTTGATTTATTCTTTTTAGGTTTAATGCAGAGTTACATTGTTACAAATCTGTCATCAGAAGCCACAGTGAAAAGAGATTTCTACATGTTTACCACCAATAAGGCAAATACAGCTGTAGATGAAAAGTAACATAACATAAACATAACATCACTTTATTACCCCTATACAATTTCTTGCATCAGGAATTTCTCTTTTTGCATAGCCCAACTTGCTCTCCATGAGACACAGATACACAGACAGGGAGAGAAGCCTGGGGTCAGAGCACAGAATCAGCTATTGTACAGCACCCCTGGAGCAGTTGGGGTTAAGGGCCTTGCTCAGGGGCCCAATGGAGTAGGATTCATCTGCTGGCTGTGGGATTTGAACCAGCAACCTTCCAGCCACAGGCACAGATCCTTAGCCACAGAAACACCGCTCCGCCCCAATTTGTTTAAAAAACTTTTTGTCATAATGTACACTGGATTAGATTAAATTAAACCAGACAATAAATGATTACCCTCAGTTTTATACAATAAACCATTATTATTAAATTGTGGAAAATAACAGTTAAAGACTGGGACTCAGGAAAGGCTATTGTATCTGCAATCATCAAAAAGCTACATATAATACATGTCTAAACAGAAATAATCTTACCTTGGTTCCCTTAGGTTTTAAGTGGTTGCATTGCTGCAAGACAAAGAAACATATTTACCTAAAACTCACATTTATCCCACATTCTATATTATTGGGTAAAGGATCAAACACAAACCATTCTATGTTAATAATACAAAACCACACAATTAAAGCCATTGTATAAATCCAGGGTGTGCTATAACCTACCCAACTCTGAAAAGCATCATTAAGTCCCATCATAATGACTCACTAAATCATATTCATTGTTTTCAGAAGTTGCTCAAATACAATGCATTAGGGCAGTCAATCCAACCCCACTTTTAATAACTGTAGTCTCTATTGAATACACCCATTCCCTTTCCAATCCAATGCTGCTGCCCTCAAACACACATACTTCTCCCACCAACCTTTCCTCCATTAAGACAGATCAAAAGGGCAAGACTATTTAATCATCAACTGCAAATGCAAACATAAAACTGTTCTCTACAGAAAGAAGCAAGTGAAATGGTTAGACAGAAATTGAACATCTGTCTTAAAGAGTGGGGATTCTGATCACTTACAGTATTTATGCTATTGCCTGTTCTCTTTGTGGTTCATAATATGTTGAGGTAAACATTCTTGAGTATCAAGTATTTCAGAATAGGTAGAGGCATTTTAGTTGTTTTTAGTAAGAGAAATTTGAATATTGTAAAACAGACATAATAAGGCACATTGTTCTTGAAAAGTCATTAAAACAAGTATTGTCAAAATATTAGTTTCAAACACCATGCTTTCGATCTTCAGTATTTTTTCTTCTTAAATTTAAAAAAGCCATTTGACTCTTTCCAATATTTTCTTTAATCGTGACTTAACCAATCTACTGCATCTCTCAAGAGTCCTGTAAGATCCTGCAAGACTACACATGTACACTACAATTGGGCGTTTGGCTATTCTGTTCGCCACAATAAGGACAACTTTATTTGTAGGTGCTCAGTGGGCAAAAGATGTCAAGTTAAGCTCCAGTATTTAGGTGCTCTTGTAATTGAGTTTCTGAAATGGGAGCACAAGATTCCTTTTATTTTGAATTCTATTTACCTGAGTGAGAGATTGGATTTGAAAGCACATAGATATGGGAAAATCCCTGAGAGAAATACTAATGATTCAGGACAATGACTCTTTTTCATTTGACCACAAAATCCAATCAACATTTGAAAATAATGGACATTGTTTAGATCTTTAAATCCAAATGATATAAAGAACAGGTACACTGTCTGTACAGTCTTTGAATCCTAAAGAATTTGTGGTTGGATATTTGAAGGTAAACAGAGACTTTTTTCTTTAAAGTATCATTCCTTTTCAGTTCAAGTTTATGATGGAGAGAAGCATGATTTTCAATTGTAATTCAAGCACTTATTATTCTACTTGGTATACAGGTCATTCTTTCAAAAACCTCTTTTGAAATAACAGATGATGTAGTCTAGAGTTTGTTGCTTTTTCATATTTTTTAGATGAACATATTACCTCAAAATGTCATTACCTTTCGAGAGACATGAGAAAACGTGGAGAGAATTGGAGAATGCTGAAGTTATTTCTTTAAAATTACAAGTTTTATATTGATTAAATACGATGTTTATACACACACTGAACATATACAAAAAGACAAAAACAAGTAAAATATATCTAAGAATTCAATAAAAACTGCTTTGAAAATTCTTTTTTAAATATGTGTGGAATACTTAGGTTACAAATTAGGTTTGGTATACTTTTTACCAAGGAAATTTGATTAATTTAGTTTAGTTTTATCTGTGACCTGTATGAACAGGAGTTATATTTTACAAGATAAAATTGGACTTAGCTGTCTTCAGTTTAAGAAATTCAAAATTTTGTATCCCTAGTGTTCTGTATACCTTTATGCATGTACAGTATGGTCATACCTCAAACTACAGTCTTACTTTCTATGGATTAAGTATTCATAACAATGTAAAGAAAAATACAGAGACAAATATGAAAAAAACAAATAAACTCCATATGTGTAGAAAATCATTTAACACCCAGTGGCAACTTTCACTGTGATTTCACTGTGATAATCTTGATTGATGACTCATATAGCTGTCTGATAGGAAACATGTCACTACAATTTATGACAGTTTTGAATAGATTTATCAAGGAGTTTGTGCATCATATTTAATTTAGTGTGATTGGGAAGAGACAGTGACTATTAATTTGACTGGTTGGGGCTGTCTAGGTCCTAATATTAAGGCCAGCATAGTAAGAATTTCTTCCAATTTGTAACTGCTTAAATTCCCATTATTGACATTCATCTCTTGCCTTTTTCACAAAACATACTTTAAAGTGATTTTATTTTATTCCTTACACAGCAGATTCTCGCAATTATATATCAGTTACTTTCTCTCTCGTTGCTTGATTTGTAATATTATAATTTTGACATTGCTATTCAATTCCTCTTCTCACTCTGGGTAAATAAAGATGCAAAACAGGTGTTGTCCAGGATGTGTACTTCCAGGCTGATTGTTTCTGTTTTGGTCCATAGTAACCAACGTGACAAAAAATCATAGGTCCCACTGCAGTCTCTACCCACCATTATCAAGGCAGTCTGTGAGATCACTGAGGATTAAACTGGCACAAACCTATAATCTCCAGGATATTGAAATCCTTCCTCATGGAGAGTTTTACAGGTTGAGCCACTTGGAAACTTTGCGCACGCAGTATTAAATATTTACAAAACATTGTATAAAATACCAGTTGTCACAGGTGCAGGGAATTATTGTTGAGCAAAATATAACAGTGAAGACTAAAGAGTTAAAGCCCTGACAACAAGATATTTCACGTCCAAACTCTAGAGAACTTTGTTCATGAAAGAACTGGGTCATAATGTACACTCCCAGGATTTTGTGTTGCAAGCATATAAATCCTCTGAGCCTTGTATGAGAAGGCTTGCATGTGAAGTATGTTGAGCTCTATTCTGTCTACAGGCTCCTGACAGTATACAGCTCTGATTAGATAGAATACTTCAGAGAAGGTGATGTTCAGGGAGAGACAGGTTGCTTTGAAAGGGCTGTTTTTGAGATCTTGTTTACAAAACAGGGTATTTTGTTCAGCTGGTCCCCAAACGATCATTAAAAACCTACTTAAATCAGAAAATCCAGACAGCAGGATATCACTGTGGAATGTCCAATCAGAGCAGCTTTTATTGGGACCCACAAAATAACCGGCAAGCTCATTAAGATAACACAGAAATATGCAAGGGCTCGCTGTCATCCCAGATCGATTCAATTGGGTTCATTTCATCTCCTTTGTTTGATCCATTGGAGCCAGATGGCAAAACAAAAGCAGCTGTCGCAAGTGCTTAAGTAGCATCTTTGATTATGTAAATAGCTCCACATTTCTTTCATATGAGCTTGCACAGGTGTGACATAAATTATCTCTTAGGAAAGTGTGAAACCAGGAAAGAAAATGTTCTTGTTAATACCACATTTTAACCATTTAGCTGCTCTGGATGAAAGTGCTTTTCACATAATGGATTATCTGCATTTATTATTAGCTATCTCGTTGTTTTGTAAATTCCTGACAGGAAAACTTGCTGTAGCCCTCTCTCTAAATTTCAAAATCAACATGACACTTTGTATACTTGTTTTAAAGTGTCATTAATAGAAAAAAACAAAATCTTAATCATAATTCTAGCAAGCTCTCACTTCAAAACAATTAGCTTTCTATGGCTTGCTTCTGTCAACATATAATAGGTAATTTAAAGTAAACAGTACTAACTTTACTGCAAATTAACCTGTTCGAGCAATGTCAGTCTCATGATGGCTGCTATGCAGTACATTGTCAGCAAAGGATTACAATGCCATGCAATGTCATTTGGAATTAGATTCAAGCCTTTTCTACTCACCGCTGCACGCCCTTTCCTCAAATGCAAATGTTGTATCTCACATAATCATTATTAGGACTTTAAGACATAAAGAACTGCTGGAATATTTGTTTTAAAAATCTTCAAGCTACATTTTGTTAAAAATTAAGCTGCTAGCAAACAATCAAGATACATGGGCCGAATGGTCTTCTTTCATTTGAAAGATATGTAGTGTTCTAAAGGAAAACATGTCCCCAAATATAGTTAGGTAGGTAGGTCCCTTTTCAGGCCATAAAGGCCCATGGGCCACCATTTTTCCTTGACCATTCAACCCTGGAAGTGGAGGTGATGTGCTCAGCATCACACTCCAGCCAGCCTATTACCTCCTGGAAGATAAACCCCCAGTACTCATTTGGAGTACTTGCTGAGTGGACCTGGGCGCTGTCTTGAAGGAATTAGAGCAAGCTACATCACTTGCCCCTACTTAGAATTGAACCTGAGACCTTCTGGTCAGGAGCCAGACACCCTTGCCATCTGAGTAACCACGGCTCCTTTCCCAAAGATAGCTTCAAAAAGTATCTAGATTTTATAACCAGAAATAGGAAGACACTTTAAGAGGCTCTAGAAACTCAAAAGCTACAAGTACTCTACTAACTTTCATTTACAGATATACGAGTATTTTAAAAACCTCTTGAGTTTAATCACCATAACATTGTCGAAACTGACCTTTCTTGGATTCATCCTCTTCAATTTCCTTCCCTTCTTCAACTGAGAAAAAAAAAATACAATTCAAAAGTTAAAAGCTGGTCTTTGTGGGGTGCTCTTCATCCACAAAAGCACTTTGAAAGAGTGTAGGTTACGTCCAGATGTTGCCAGTTCAAAGGGTAAATACTGGACACCTCTGCCTTCAGTGAAAAAGTGACTCGTTCAACGTTTTTATATATCACTTCATTAAGGGTGCCTTTAATCAGTTCCAAAATCCCTCGGTAAACTTAAAAACAAAAGCAAATGTTAGCAAAGAAACTAAGAAAATAATTACATACTGGATGTTGGCATTTCCGTTACTTAAGTTATGTTAGTTAATCACTGACAATCATAATAAAAGAAAAAAGCTCCAGTTTATCAGTGTTCTACTATTACCATCAGAAAAGGCAACTAGGTTTAGGGCTTAGACCTGTAGTTACATAGCTGAGATATGTTATTTTTTATTTATTTCTTGTTTGAAGATTTTGTGTACTGTACTTCACATAAATACATGAAATAAAGAACAATATGCTGTGCAAAAGGAGGGCAGTGCAGTGGTTAGTATTGCTGCCTTACAACAGCGGGGCCTTGGATTCAATTCCCCACCCTGGGGCTCTATCTGCACGGAGTTTTTTTTATGCTCCTTGTGTTCATGTGGGTTTCCTCCAGGTGCTCCGGTTTCCTCCCACAGTCCAAAACATAGTTAATTAGCTTCTGGGAAAACTGGCCCTAGTTTTGAGTGTGTAAGTGCCTGTGTGTTTGCCCTGCAATCGACTGTCGTCCTGTCTGGGGTGTAATCTATCTTGTGCCTGTAGATTGCCGGGACATGCTCTGGCTCCCCTGTGACTCTCAACTGGAAGAAACAATCAGAAAAGGGATGGGTGGATTTTTTGCAAAATTGTGACCTTTTCACACATAGGCTACGCATTTACTTGTTTCTTAATACTGTAAATTTTGGAGTCCATTTAAGCATCTGTTCAAAGATCGAAGGCTATTATCGCTGCATTGTTCTATTGCTAAATTATTCACTCAATGTTTTTTTTGGTAAATAAATGGCCTAAAATATAAAATAAATGTTCCACCCTGCTGGAGAGAAAGCAATCACAATGCAACATTAACAAAACTACCTTAATGCTACATTTAATGGAGTTTTTAACAATGTTTGAGAACAAGGACTAGCCCTATTATACCATGCTACATTAAGTATAAATACAAGAATCAAACATCTCTTTCCCATCACTGATCGTTGTACATCCCTCCCCCTACCCCATCATCACCACTGCAGCAGCTCTTTGGTTCATTCCACCTATTACAGGGGTCCGATGGCCTTGTACTTACGACCAGGGTATAGCTCCCTCAGACAAGCATGTTAAAGCCAAATCTATATCTCAAATTGCTCATGCACAAAACTGTTCAATACTAGGTTAAGCCCAGAGCTATTGAACTCAGGCCTGCTCAAGTGGAAATATCATGATAAGGAAAATGTGGTAGTTCAGTAACCAGTCTCTTTAGCCTGGGGCCTCTGAAGTAGAAGATTGCTAAAAAGGATTAAATATAAACTGCAGAGTTGTAATGCGGAAAAAAAAAGTTCAATGGAAGCTACGTTAAAACTGACTCATTTGTGACCCAAGCAAGATTTGAAATTTTGCCTCAAGAAAATGAATGTCATCCTAGAACAGCTGCTTTAGATACTCCTTTAAAGAATTAACTTTGTATCAGGCAGTCCTTCTAAGTCATTGTATCATTTTCTCTGTGAAAGAACCTGCCAAACTGTGATATGAATAAAGTGCTGCATTTTATTTTGCTTTCCGAAATTAACTTTTTTGCATATGCCACATTGTGTAAATGTTCCTACTGGGTTTTTGATATTATAAAGCTTCAGTTTGGTTTCAGCTTGTTCGGTACTCTATGGAGAGTCTGGTTATAAAAGAAACCAGCAACCCCTGCACCATGAAATAATTTAAAGAATTAAAACTGAGATTTACTGTGATGAGTTACAAAAATTTAAAGAAGCCAAATAAAAAAAACACTCAAAATCTATTAAAAACAATGTTTACATTGGTTACATGTACAGTATGTGAGTGCCTATTTAACATTCAATTAATATTTAAAGTCTATGGTCTTTATTTTCCCTGCAGGCAAACATCCTGAACAATAGTAAATGAGTCATATACTGTAGGAAATTGACCCATAGGGACAAATAGGCTTAATGCAAGTCATCCTTTTTTGTACTCTAATTTGACATTAGATGCAGTATTAACAAAATAAAAAGGTCCTTTAAAGATGGAAATACTATGCATTCTGAGCCTGGTGATCAATTTCATCTGTTGAAATGTTTTCAAGAGAAGGAAAGCTTTCAAGCCTCCTCCCTGTTTCTATTATCTGGTGTAGAAATTGGGTATCATTTTGCTACCTGTTTTCACATCAGAAAAAAACAGCACACAAGTCTGACAAAACTGAACACCTCTGCAGGCAATATACATGAGAACACTCCTCAGACATCAAAAATGAAAATATTTTCTTTGCACACATTAATCTGCATTTGCTTCCATTCTACACATATATCTACCGTATGTAATTTCCATTGCAAATAGCAAAGACAGCATGTATACTTTCACTTAGACTTATACTCAAAATCAACCACATATTGAGGCCCATGAATTAATACTGAGGAAGTGTGATGTCTGAATAATTCCAAAGGTTTGCAATATGTGTTAGATGAATAAGAAAACAAAATATACCTCATGGGAAAAACATTTACTCAAAGGCTACGAAGTGTGGTTGCTAAGGGATCAGTGCATTCAACACATCGAATTTCCAAAAACCTGAGTGGAATGTATAAAAATACATTTTGCCTTTCCTCACAAAACATGGTTGTGAGTTTGTGTACTGTATGTATACAGCATTACTATTCAAGTTATGCTCTGCAATACAAAAGTAATTCACAGATTTCTACAATCCAGTTTGCTGCATGCTCATAAACTGAAAGCACACTGTATTCATTCTTCATACATGCTAAAACCTTTGAAGTACTGGAAATCTGTTAACTCATATTTGTTTCTGAGTTTTCCTCATAAAGCCATGAAAGATTGTCTTAGAATGTAAGATTGTTGAAGGTGAATACATTCTGTAAGATTAAGCACCAGCAAGTATAACCTCCAGATGTGATGGCCCCTGCAGTGGTTGGATCACTGTGCAACAGTAAGAAAACAAACTACTTCAAGTGGTACATTGAAATGGTGAGCCCTATTCTAAAGGAAATGCATGGTGGCAACTGGTTACTTTGGCTTATGGCTGTAATAACTAAAAAGAGTGCTTTTGGGTGACCTGGAAGTCAATGACATGCTATATGTGCTTATTCTTACAGTCAATCATCAGGAGGAAAATTATTCTAAACAGGGTATTTAAGGGAATTACAATTATTATTTTTTTCTCTTGGAAAGATACAAATGCAAAACACAAAGTTTTATTGTGACTATGTAAGTAAAATGTAATTCAACCATTTCCTTAGATCTTATTTCATTTTCCTCAATATTACATTTTGAAGCAAAAATCCCATTGAAGCTAATTTGTATTGGATTAAGGAGAGGCACAGTGCCAGCTCTTGCAATGAAACATTTTCTAATACTATAACTCTGCTAGTATACCTCCTCACTGACCTGAAAATCCTCTGCCTATTACTTTTGGGCCTCGACCAGTAGAGACTTCTGAAGTGGGACGAATTGTGTGGTGGTTTTATAATTCAAACTTATTTCCTCTGGGACCAGTGCTGAGACTACCAATTCAATTTCACTTGTTTCTTCAAGCAAAGCTGCATTCAGGCCTAAAGAAGGAGCAAAGACCGGACAATAGCAAGACATCCGAAATTCTACTTCTCAGTATTGTGATAATATATTTAAGATATTTGCTTGGATGATTTTTTTAAATACACTGCACAGCACACTGCAAAAAACATTTCATTAAGATTTAAGCCCACTGCCTTCTGTAACGCTCTTCAAAGTAATGTGTGACCATGACAATAATACTATCATTACAAAAAAAAAACACGTCTAGAGTATATAAAAAAATAGAATAAAAATCATTGGCCATTTGGAAAGATCTATCCACTTGAAGACTGTTTCAACTATCTAGTTTGCTCTCCGATTTGATTAGAATTAAAGCACAGTTTCCATTTACTAGTGAATCTTTGACTTAATGTCCACTCAGTGAAGTGAAATCATTCCCTTGTTTTGTTGTATTTTTAGTAAAACATAGCTATTAGGTTAGGTCTGTGTACTCTAGAATTAACTGTAATGTTGTGGTTTCAAATCCCAAGTGGGGCACTGATGATGAACTCTTGTGTCAAGAAAGTATAAATAGTGGTCACTTTGTATAAAAGCATCAGTGAGATTATTTATATTAGTTATATTAATTACATTTATTTTTATAATTATCTATGGTTATAACAACTTGCATTTACATGAAGTGGTCAGATTAGCACTGGTGTGTGTGTTTGTGTCTCTGTGTGCCCTGTGACAAACTGGTGTTCTGTCCAGGGTGTACCTGGCCTTGCACTCATTGCTTGTCAAGTTCCAGCTCCCCTGCAACCCTGAACTGGATAAAGTGGTTAGAAAATGGATGGATGGATGGATGGATGGATTTGCATGCCTCAGAGCTAATCGACTTGTCTGTATACACATGACTGAGGCTGGAGTTAACAGTGTTCACTGCAGGCATGTTCCATTATACAGTCAACACTGAGTGAGAAAACCTCTAGATTATGCAAATATACTTGGCCAACCAGAAAATCTATGACCCACTCCTACTAACAGCTCTGACTTGCACATTTACTATTATAATTTATTTGCCCATGTCCAAGCTATCTAGCCTTGCGTATGTCCGCTATTGCTGAAATTATGCCAAGCCACGGCAATGGTAGGTTTTCCATTTTGCCGCTGTGGACAGAGTAGCTCCTAATTTACCTCACATCTAACTACAGCATCATCCTGCTTCATATCTGCAGCCTTCTGTCCATAGTTTGCCCT